AGAAGTTAGGGAAGTGGACCAATCAGAAATGAGAGTAATAACCAAGCAGAAGTGAAGGAAGTAACCAATCAGAAGTGAGCTCAGGGAACCAATAGAATTTTAGGTGTAAGTTATCCGGTTTAGAGGCAAAAACTGAGAGCCTCTGGGCCAGGGAACCAGACGATGCTGGCAGGAGAGTGGTGGCCCTGCCTGGGGTTCCTGCCGGCCTTTTTATGGGGCTTCCCGCCTCAAAAGGAGTATCACACAACTTGTGGACTGTCAGCCATGGGAGGGTGAAGAGGGATTCGAGGAGATGAGCTGCCCAACTGGAAGAAGGTGCCAGGAGCTGACTTGGAGCAAAACAGCACTTTATTGCAGTACAAGTGAGTGGTGCACTCGGCCTGGCAGCGTGCTCAGGTGTACGCACTTGTCCTTTTAGTAATGCTAGTGGCGCATGCGTAGTGTTCATAATGCTGACTCACGCCACTAGCGCATGCGTACATTTACCTCTGTCCAGGTGCAAGCTATTGTGAACTTTGGCCTGGGCCTCAGGGCCTACTCACTTAAGGCTGCGAACATGGACATACTTTAAAAAACCGTAACTGTTTACTCTTTAAAATAGCCAAGTGTTTTAAGGAAAGCTGCTTATATTGTCAGCAGGTTCTCTAAATGGTTCTCAAAGTGCATCAAAAACCACTTTGAGAACTAAGTATGAAAATACTCGGGCCCTACCTTAGAAGAAGAGAATACGAAACTGTAGGGGTAGGGTAGTGATCCGTGATTTAACAGGCTCTCAAGGTAATTTTAAAGCTCACTCAAGTTTGAGGACCATCAGCCTCAGCTGATCTGGGTAATTCAATTACGACTGCTAGCTCGTACAATTAGCCATGAGTACGTTGTGTGTAGTGGGAAAGGTTTCGGTTCTGTAAACTAGCAGCACCTGGGTGTGCGTGAGTGCGTGGGGCTGACGTGGCTATAAACCATCTTATTCGCAGCCTGAGGAGGAAGACGTCGGTTGGAGCAGGAGTGGCAGAACTTCGGAGATGTATGGCTATAACCTGGATATACAGCCTGGATTACAGAAAGCTGCCTTAGGAACTTGTGAGTGGGTAAGTTGATAAATTCCCTTATTTATGCCACTTCTGAAGCAATGTTTTCTGTTACTTGCTGTTGGTATCGTGGTTGACTAAGTGAGTGCTTGTAACTTAAAGTGATTAATTTGGTGGGTTTTATCAATCCTATCTGCACATTTGGGTTATACGAACCACTCTTGGGTTCACTTTTAGAGAATCTGAGTTAAGTAGTCCAGTATGAAGGCCTGGCACTGGGATTTTTTAATCGTTGATTTTGAAATGCAGGCAGCGCTGAGAACCAGAGTCGCTTGTAACAAGGACTACTGAGGGGCTGTTTGTCCAGGTATTGAAAACAGTTTTTTTTCTAACATACTTGAACGATCCTAGAATGAGAAATTCATAAACTAAGGAGTAGGTGGGCAGTATTCTTATAAGAAGTGAAACAGTGCTTCCTTTTTATCTTATACTAAATAACACTTGCTAGGTTACCATGACCACTTTTCTAAATTTATGAACTAAGTCCTTCTACAAATTAGACATGTTTTTGGTAGTTTGGAAGAATGCTTTCAGCAAAACCATCTCCATGTGGTAGGCAGTGTGCTCTGGTGGTCAGGGGTTTGGGTCCTGGCTGTGGGCTGGGGCGATTTGAAAGCCTCCACTCTGAATATCACCACCACCACCACCGTTGTCATCACTAACACCTGGGGACTTGCTGGAACAGTGTTTCTGTGTCTTGCTCAGGCGTACTGAATCAAACTCGGGACGCAGTGCCCCCGCACTCTGATTTAACAAGATCTTCAGGTGATTCTGGTACAGGCTAATGTTGAGAATGCCTAGCTTGATCTAATGACTGTACTACCTTTCATTCCCGCCACATTTTCTCTCTTAGGACCCATTTGCTGGGAGACCCAAAATAACTGCTGTCCTTACTGTCTTTCCCCATTAGCAGATAATGGGGAAACAAAAAGTGAAACTGGCATACTATCTGGAGGTTGGTTTTGGATTCAGTGGAGCGTGATTATATGCCCTGTTCAGTTTACTTCCCTCAGTAGCACATAGGTGGCCTCAAGATTAAAAGACATACTAGAAAAAGGAGAAATAAAATTAGTTATGCTTTCCTTGTAATAAATAGTTATTTCTATTCCCTTAATCTAGTATTGTTCAAGGTGGCACTGGGTGGTGTTTTAAAAGAGGCAAAAGATGAGTTCCATAGGAAGAGGGGGGTCAGTGCTTAAGTATTGAGGTCTGAAAATCATGATGAGAAGGAAGAAGTGAACCATTAATTTAGAAATAAGTAAATAGTAAACAGTCATTATAAGTGAATAGTGAAATAGGTGCTAAGAGGAGCCTTCTGAGAAATAGTCTCGTTATAGGGAGGGTCATGGTATTGAATCAATTTTTGAGTTAAGGAACATCATTTGGTCTTAGTTTGCTTTGACAACTGAAAGCAATGACTACCAATTGATGGGGTATGCAGCAATTGCCTTTTACTAGTGCAGACCTGGGAACTTCTCTGATGTGAAAAATTGGTGGCAATACCCTGATTAACAGGAAGTGTTACACTTGTATTATCATTGGCCCACTTAAGGCCTCTTGTTTTTCCTTTCATGTTCTCTTTCCTACCCCTCCCGCTTCTACTCTGTCAGGTGGCTATTCTGGTGCATTTTATGTACCTTCTCTTTTAGAGGGTCAAAGTAGTATTTTGTATACATTTTAAAATTACACAAAAAGTTAAGTATACGAAAGAAGAGAAAATGGTAATAAACTTTTTGTACTCGTTACCAACTTTGATAAAACAATCTGGGCCATGAGTTTATTATCTATAACTTCTCACCACTCATCTCCACCTTGCCCAGATTATTGTGAAGCAAATTCCAGGCTTAATTTACAGAAATGATATTTTTTATAGTATTTTGTCTATTTCTTAACACTGTTTTTTGGTGACTTACCTTTGTGGTTGTGGATACATGTAGTCTATTACTTCTGACTACTTCATGGTACACTGTAGAGTATCTCATACATTGTGTATCCATTTTCCCTGGTGGAGCTAGGGAGATGGTTGAATTCCTTCATTTGCATCCCATCACAAATAGAACCTCAATAAACACGTGTATACATGCCCCCTCATGACCTGTGTGAGAATTTCTTAGTGATACATGCTCAGATGTGCGAATTTAGGTTAAAGAGTATGTAATTTCTTCACTTGATTAAGTGCTTCCAAATTGGTTACAGACATTCTAGAGATCGATCTGTCCACTCACCAGGAACGCTTGGCATTCTCTAGCAATTTTTTTCGCAGGTTATTAGTCATCAAATGATGTTGCATTATTTAGTTTGCATTGTCTAATTACTAATAGGTATGACCATCTTTTTACATGCTTAATAGCTTTTGGGGTTCTTTGTTCTATGAATTATTGATATCCTTGGCCCATTTTCCCAGTGGACTTTTATCATAGTGATTTACAGGAATTTCTTCATTTTATAAATAGTTTGCCCTTGTTAAGTTAGTATGTTGGTAGTGTCTTCTTCAGATTTGTCATCTATTCAGATCTTCCCAGAGTGCCTTTGAATAGAAAGTCTTAATTTTGGTACAAATTCAGCAGTTTTTTTTCCTTGTGATTTTTGTTTCTGTTGTTCTAGGAAATTCTTCCCTGCCTTTATCTTGAGGCTATTTTTCTGTGTTTTCTTTTGTTGATTTTAGTCTACCTTCCATGTTTAGGTCTGTATTCCATTTGGAGTTTACCCTTTTGATTTAAGTTAAGAATCCATTTTAATTTTTCTCAATACATGAACCAGTTTTCCCAGCCCTATCTAAGTCCTCCTTTCACCCCTGAATTGTACCATTTTTTAATTACATATTAACTTCCCATATGTAAATGAGCCTATCTCAGCTGTTTACACCATCCTATTAGGATGTTTGTTTTTGTGCTAGTACTATACTAGTTCTTATTAGTGTTTATGGTATATCTTCATGTCTGTGGTATAACATCATAAAATTTTCTTAGTTGTTCCTTTACAAGGCTGTTTGTACCTTTATTTTCATACGCATTTTAAAATGAATCCAGCTGGAGTCTGGATTAGGGTTACATTAAATTTGATTAATCTGAGGGATGAACTGGTATCTCATAATGAATCCTCTCACCTGTGATTATGGAAATCTCCATTTATTTGTATCAGTCACTTTTGTCTCTTACTAGGTTTTAAAAATTTTTCTCCATAGAGGATTTACCTTCTTTAACCTAATGCCTGGGGAATTTATTGCTTTTGTTGCTATTAAAAATAACTAAAATAGCTATTTTTATGTTTCCTAGATGGTTATCTCAGGTTTAGAGAAATGGTACTGATTTTGGGGGGGGAGGTAGGCAGATTTTTGAATCCAATCTTACTGAATATCTTCATTCTAATAAGCTTCTCTGTCTGACTTTTCATCCTCTTCCTCCTCAAAGTTTTCTGCAGATTTTCTGTAGATACTTAGACTTGGGAGATTCTTCTTTATTCCTGAGTTGCTAGTGTTTTGTTTTGAATTCATGAATGAATGTTCCAGTTTTAGCCAAAATAATTTTGCTTCTATTGAGATGATTTTTTTTCTCTTTCAGCCAGTTATTGGCACTTCATCTGCCTTCTGTATGCTTTTTTGGGAAAACTTTCTCATATTTTTTTGTTGTGTTCTGAGTGCTTCAGTCTGAACTTAAAACTCTAAGTCTTTAACTTTTGCCATACTACTTAATCCAAATGTTTTGACTTTAAAAGTTTCACCAGCTTTTTTTTTATTGTGGTAAAATCTCCTAACAGGAGAACTACCCTGATAAGTTTTTGTGTGCGATATAGTATTAATTACAGGCATGATGTTGTACAGCAGATCACTAGAACTTACTCATTTTGAATGACTGCAACTTGGTGCCTGTTAAACAGCAACTCTCCATTTCCCCCAAAACCACCATTGTATTCTGTGTCTGTGAATCTGAACATTTTGGATAACTCATAAGTAGAATAGTGCAATACTTGTATTTCTGTGACTGGTTTATTCCACTTAGTGTGATGTCCTTCAGGTTTATTCATATTGTTACATACAGCAGGGTTTCTTTTCAAGGCTGAATAATATGCCATTGTGTGTATATACCACATTTTTTGATCTGTTCATTTGTTGTTGGACATTAAAGTGGTTCTGGTATTTTGGTTATTGTGAATAATGTTGCAGTGAATGTGGGAATGCCTTTGGACATCTTGATTTCAGTTCTTTTAGATACATACCCAGAAGTGGGATAGGTAGGTCCATTTTTGTTTTCAAAGAAACTGTCGTATTGTTTTCTGTAGTGGCTGCACCATTTTGCATTCCCACTAACAGTGTGTAAAACTTATCATTTCTTCCTATCCTGGCCAGGACCTATCCTCCCCCCCCCCTTTTTTGGGGGGATAATAACCATGGTAACAAGAGTGAGGTGGTAACTCATTGTGGTTTTGATTTACATTTCCTTCATGTTAAGCATCTTTTTATGTATCTATCACTATTTATATGTTGTTTTTGGAAAAATGTCCATTTTAAAAATAGCAAATTGCTTGGATTTTATGTATTTTTTTTGCTAATGAGTTGTAGGAGTTCCTGATATTTTGGATTAATTTTAACTCCTTATCTGATACAGTTTACAAATACTTTCTTCCTTTTTGTAAGTTGCCTTTGACTCTGATTTCTTTAGCTATGTAGATGCTTTTTAGTTTTGTAGCCCCACTTATGTTTGCTTTTTGTTTGTGTTTCCAGTGTCATATCAAAGAAATAATTACAAAGGCCAATGTCATGAAGCTTCCCCTTATGTTTTATCCTGGGAATTTTGTAGATTTAAACATTATATATGAATCTTTAATCTATATGAGCTGATATTTGTATATGGTGTAAGGTAGAGGTCCAGTTGCATTCTTTCGCATGTGAAAATCCAGTTTTCCCAGCACCACGTATTGGAAAGACTGTCCTTTCCCCATTGTGCGTTTCTGGGACCCTTGTCAACGGTGAATTTACTATATACGTGTGGTATTTCTTACAT